CCTGAAAGTGTCGCAATTTATCATGTGTGAGTGAGCTTGAAGTTTAATGGTGTATGTATGTTTGAGACTATATAGCCTTTACACTGTTTCATTAAAGAGATATATCTCCAATCAAATCAAACTGAGTGATGTTATCGAACAACTAAACAATATCAATCTTCTATTGTCCTAAATAAACCTGGGAAACCTGAAAATGTAAATTCATCGTTAGTGAAAACGTTATACAATATACAACAATGGGCAAATAATTGTTTCCAGACCAATGATTTACGTGAGAAGAATTTACATTTAATAATGAAGCTGTTGCCGTTTGAATATGGACTTGAAATAATAAGTATAGCCCTGAAAGTGTCACACTATATCATGTGTGAGTGAGCTTGAAGTTTAATGGTGTAGGTTTGTTTCCATTTAGAATTCACCCAAGTTTTCATTTATGTTTTTATATTTATTTATATGTTATTTATTGTTTTTATCACGGAGCATTATATTCACATCATCATCATAATTTAGGATTTCGTTTTATATTATATGTGTCTAGTCTACGAATACCGTCTAAGGGCCATCGCAATTCGGTTGCTGTCATAATGGTCACTTTTAGCGAAAATGGACACATATATATTTTAAAACTTTCTTCTCGGTGGGGGAGGGAGGGGGCCGGGGGAAGGGGTTGGGGTACGATACCAAAAGAATATATCATTTCATGTAATGCTAGATGTGTAATGAAAAATGTTTAAATTCAGTATTTTTTCCCGCCCAAGATTTACCTTTATTTGCCACATGTTCTCATATTATTTTAGACCCCTCGGTAGAACAATTGCGCTGTAATTGCACAACTATAGGCAGACCTATCCATTCGTACCATGTACCCACCTTTTCATTTATGCAATTAGCATACTAGCTTATATCGAGAAATATACAGGTGCCATCGGCTAACTTAAAATCACATTTCCTATCCATGTCTTGTTTACCTTGAACTCTACACTAATCTTACCTTATTTTAACTACGGGATACTCACCTGGGGGAACAGCTCAAAATTCCTCATTAATCGAACCCATAGTTCCCCACTTTTTTACCCATGTAAGCTCCTGAAGATACACGAACTCTATTAATTCAACTTGAGAATAATTAGGTTTTAACTCAGAAAACGTACGCCAATTGGTGGTGGTGGTGATGCAGATTTTTCTTCTGCCCCCTCCCCTTCCAAACATTTTTGCTCGTTACGTCACTGCCCCTGGAAGGTGAGCCCCCTGGAATGTTTGCCCCCACAATCCCAAACTGCTTCCGGCGCGCCTGGTATTCAGTGATCGTTGTCGCGGCTGAAATTGAGTCTAAAGTTATGACATTGTAAATAGTAAACTCTTTCTGTCGTATTGCTCCCTAATTAAGCTATAAAACAATGTTTCTTGACTAAAATAGACCGATTGGCTATTCCCTTCTGAAAATTATGTATCACAACTACATATTCTGAAATTTTCATGGTCGCAGCTACTATTGTATGACCGTAGGCGCTATTTGAAATTTATCAACATTTACGGGAAGCGCCGGTAAATCTGTTATATTCCCATTTTCTCGAAAGCAGAAGTGTTTTAGGGGCTAAATTTTCTAGTGTTTATAATACATCCACAGGGGCATCCAAATATATCAAAATTGTGAAGAATCACAATACAGCCAATTTTCAATATTTCCCAAAACTTTGTTTTACCTTTAACGCGTATAGTTGGTGAATAAAAAAAAATCAATAAAAAGGGTCCAGAACTATAAACTACTTTAGGGCGATCAGTGTGGCTAATTTTAAAGATTATAGGTCTACGAACTGATTGAACAATTTGCAAAGGATTTCCCGAATACTCAAACATGTAGAATATTCTCGGGATTCTTGATAGTCTTATAGTTAATATTATAGTTAAACAGTTGAACGTCTGGGTATCATGGGCTTAAAGGTTGCGAGTCCTTATAAAGTCTGCATGCCTACGATATGAAACCGATTTGTCATTTTTCTTTTCGATTAAAGGCCACCAATAAACTCGCAATTTTCGCCGTCGGATGAAAATGCAGAAAATGAACCCAGGGATTCTGATAAACAGTACATGTTAGGCTGCTGACTCTGACGATAGGGGGCGTTGTCAAATGAAACTAAACGGAGCTATAATTTATGCTAACCAAACTGCTGCATCATAGACTAAATCGCGTATGGGATGGGCCAATTTACAATTTCACAATAATATTGTGGTACTTAATCAGTATTCTCTTCTTCAGAGCGACCAAAATTGCAGAGAGTTGTAGACGCCGCCATAATTGCTCATGTAAAAGTTACAACTTTGAACCAATCACTGCGCTGCGCGCATATGGCGGGCGGAACATGCCATATACATGACAACTATACAACTATACATCCATTCGATGGATGTAGGGTTTTAACCAATCAGAACGCAGGAAACTGTACAACTATACAACCATACAACTATACGACTATACGGCTATGCATCCATCGAACGCATGTATAGTTTACAGCGTGCGGGCCGAAGTACCATAATCAACAACTATACAACCATACAACCATACGACTATACGTCTATAAAGCCAGGGGTTACTGCTGCTCGTGCAGTGGTTTCTCTCTCAAAACAACTACTGCTCGCGCAGTGGTTTCTCTCTCCTCACCAAACAACTACTGCTCGTGCAGTGGTTTCTCTTTTCCCCTTTCTCCTCACAAAACAACCACTGCACGAGCAGTAGTTGTTTTGTGAGGAGGGGGGGGGGGGGGAGAAACCCGCTGCACGAGTAGTAGTTGTTTTGTGAGGAGAAAGGGGGAAAGAGAAACCACTGCACGAGCAGTAGTTGTTTTGAGGAGAGAGGGGGAAGGGGGGGGGGGGGGAAGAGAGAAACCACTGCACGAGCAGTAGTTGTTTTGTGAGGAGAGATCGAGAAACCACTGCACGAGCAGTAGTTGTTTTGAGAGAGAAACCACTGCACGAGCAGTAGTTGTTATGTGAGGAGAGAAACCACTGCACGAGCAGTAGTTGTTTTGTGAGGAGAGAGGGGGAGAGAGAAACCACTGCACGAGCAGTAGTTGTTTTGTGTGGAGAGAGGGGGAGAGAGAAACCACTGCACGAGCAGCAGTTGTTTTGGGAGGGGGAGAGAGAAACCACCGCACGAGCAGTAGTTGAAACCCGAGCTTTATAGACGTATAGTCGTATTTGTATGGTTGTTGATTATGGCACTTTGATTATGGCATTGTGAAGAATCACAATACAGCCAATTTTCAATATTTCCCAAAACTTTGTTTTACCTTTAACGCGTATAGTTGGTGAATAAAAAAAAATCAATAAAAAGGGTCCAGAACTATAAACTACTTTAGGGCGATCAGTGTGGCTAATTTTAAAGATTATAGGTCTACGAACTGATTGAACAATTTGCAAAGGATTTCCCGAATACTCAAACATGTAGAATATTCTCGGGATTCTTGATAGTCTTATAGTTAATATTATAGTTAAACAGTTGAACGTCTGGGTATCATGGGCTTAAAGGTTGCGAGTCCTTATAAAGTCTGCATGCCTACGATATGAAACCGATTTGTCATTTTTCTTTTCGATTAAAGGCCACCAATAAACTCGCAATTTTCGCCGTCGGATGAAAATGCAGAAAATGAACCCAGGGATTCTGATAAACAGTACATGTTAGGCTGCTGACTCTGACGATAGGGGGCGTTGTCAAATGAAACTAAACGGAGCTATAATTTATGCTAACCAAACTGCTGCATCATAGACTAAATCGCGTATGGGATGGGCCAATTTACAATTTCACAATAATATTGTGGTACTTAATCAGTATTCTCTTCTTCAGAGCGACCAAAATTGCAGAGAGTTGTAGACGCCGCCATAATTGCTCATGTAAAAGTTACAACTTTGAACCAATCACTGCGCTGCGCGCATATGGCGGGCGGAACATGCCATATACATGACAACTATACAACTATACATCCATTCGATGGATGTAGGGTTTTAACCAATCAGAACGCAGGAAACTGTACAACTATACAACCATACAACTATACGACTATACGGCTATGCATCCATCGAACGCATGTATAGTTTACAGCGTGCGGGCCGAAGTACCATAATCAACAACTATACAACCATACAACCATACGACTATACGTCTATAAAGCCAGGGGTTACTGCTGCTCGTGCAGTGGTTTCTCTCTCAAAACAACTACTGCTCGCGCAGTGGTTTCTCTCTCCTCACCAAACAACTACTGCTCGTGCAGTGGTTTCTCTTTTCCCCTTTCTCCTCACAAAACAACCACTGCACGAGCAGTAGTTGTTTTGTGAGGAGGGGGGGGGGGGGGGGGGAGAAACCCGCTGCACGAGTAGTAGTTGTTTTGTGAGGAGAAAGGGGGAAAGAGAAACCACTGCACGAGCAGTAGTTGTTTTGAGGAGAGAGGGGGAAGGGGGGGGGGGGGAAGAGAGAAACCACTGCACGAGCAGTAGTTGTTTTGTGAGGAGAGATCGAGAAACCACTGCACGAGCAGTAGTTGTTTTGAGAGAGAAACCACTGCACGAGCAGTAGTTGTTATGTGAGGAGAGAAACCACTGCACGAGCAGTAGTTGTTTTGTGAGGAGAGAGGGGGAGAGAGAAACCACTGCACGAGCAGTAGTTGTTTTGTGTGAGAGAGGGGGGGAGAGAGAAACCACTGCACGAGCAGCAGTTGTTTTGGGAGGGGGAGAGAGAAACCACCGCACGAGCAGTAGTTGAAACCCGAGCTTTATAGACGTATAGTCGTATAGTTGTATGGTTGTTGATTATGGCACTTCGGCCCGCACGCCGTAAACTATACATGCGTTCGATGGATGCATAGCCGTATAGTCGTATAGTTGTATGGTTGTATAGTTGTACAGTTTCCTGCGTTCTGATTGGTTAAAACCTTACATCCATCGAATGGATGTATAGTTGTATAGTTGTCATGTATATGGCATGTTCCGCCCGCCATAAGCATGCAGTGTACGTACATACGTACGTACGTACACAGCTAGAGCTAGCATAGTTAGTAGGCTGCATGCTATGAGCCAAAGCTATGAGCAGCTTCGACTTGTGTTATGTCACGCGCGTAATACTACTCGTATCTTTGCAGCTCATCATGAATATTCATGATGCGTATACCTCTGAACCAATCGGGAGGCAGGATTTTACCCTCATAGGTAAACCTGTTTGAGAAGAAAAAAATTCGCGACCGGGCTACTCCTTTCGTATAAAATACAATTTTGTCTCACCAGCGATTCATTAAAGACACTGACAGGCTCGCATCAAAAGGCCCATGTCCCGTATATATGGGTTTTCAGCGATCGAATAGCATCATGTCTGATCACGGGGAACAAGGATGGACAAGTACTATAAAGGTGAGAATTAAAGGTTTTCTGATTGTTTTAAATAGTTAAACAACTTGTGAAAGAGTATGTATCAGACGTAATGCCCATTTTGCGTGCATATACTGCCTTTATAAAGTGAGTTTGTTCATTGTTCGATTATATTAAAACAGCCATGATACGCAAAGCTTCTTGTAAGGAGGTTCATTATTTACTGTGTTTTTGCATATTTTCGAATTCAATACTTTTCTATAATGTCTACCTTTGCAAGGGAAACCCGGATTAACCATTCTTTACTAGTCCCGATAAAGTCTTTTCATTCATGGCGAAGTTTAATTCCTCCTCTGGTGTGATGTGACGTAATCTAATAATTTTCGTCGGCCTTATGCCAAAAAGGCCTTTAAAGTTTTGGCCTCTTTAATAATCAAAAGTTTGTGGTCATTTGTTGTTGTTTTTGAAATCAATTTCGATAAATATGTTAAGTTATTAAGTTTTACATGAAATGTGTTAAATTTGTTTTAAAATATTCAAAAGTTTTCATGCTATGTGCAAAAAACATGTTAGGTTTTTTTTGGGCATAATTATGACTTAAATGTAGCGTATTTATGCCAGAAGGGCGACCTACACGGCATTACTTGCCAAAAGGGCCTTAACCTGCCGTTATCGTACGCGTGCGAAGTGAGCGCCCTTCTGGCATAAAGACATTTTCTTGTTTCACGACCCCTTTGGTTTGCCAGAATTAAGCCCCTGCTACGGCTACTGGGTCACGAAAATTGATAAAACTGATTAACTAAAATGTTAGAAAAAGTATCTTTGATATCTGAATATTGTTATTAATATAATGCAGCTTTCGGTGAAGTAAGTTTTAAGAGATCGTACATTTACTGATTTAGGACACCTTTTTCGTTGTTTATTTTCATTACAGTCCCATACGTTGACATCTGCGTATTTCATGAGTCAGTCGCATTTCATGCATCCACATTTGACTAATTAGATCGGGCTTAGATCTTATACTCAGAATTCATGAGCTAAATTCATGATATATACGTTCAGTAATTATTCTAAGTACATTGTGCCTATTGTAGACTAATCGTGTTATTAATGGTGTTTATATTGATATTTATTGAATTAAATAGAAATAAGAAAATATCTGTCATTGATAAAAAAAAAATGAAAAAGTTGCCGTGTAGGTAAAAGCCCTTTTGGCATGAGGAAAAAGATGAGATACGCGTTTAGGGCCTTTTGAAACTCATAATTATCTTCACAAATAAATCGAATTTCAACAAGTGAAGCACATCATTTTAAAGAGAATGTTGAAATCTACCAGGTGATGTTAATAAGTCAATAACTCCCCAAATCAGGTTAAGTTAAGGCCCTTTTGGCATAAGGCCGACGCAAAAGGCGGCCTCCATGATTGTGCGACACTTGGCATTTTATCGGGTTTTTAGTAATTTTTTCGAGTTTATACTCTTAAGGTAAACCCCTCCTTTAAAACAATTAAGCTTGCATAATAATGACATGCACTCACTGCACTTGGTTATTAATAAGACGAACATTATTAATATAAACAAAAATACATAATATTTTCATTTAATTTCAAAGACTTTATTTTCTGCAATCAAACAAATCAGTTATACAACAAATATGGATAATTATATAAAACATAAGGTATGCAAACAATATACAAAATATAGAAACAAATGTATAATACATGAGTAAGAGTATAAATTTATACGTTGGGCCAAATTGCGTGTATAAAGAAAGAAAGCAGAAGGTCGCCGTTATAAGCAAAAGCTTGAGCAGAAGGTCAACCGAGCTAAGATAAAAATGAGTTGTGAAATATTGGCAAAGTAACAAGAAGAGGGGGCCATGACACTCAAATGATATATATTACAATTAAATGTGGATATAAACAGTAATGGATTCAATATATATTTTTAGTGTAGCTTTAAATGAATAGAGAGATGTACACTGTTTAATATATCTAGGGAGTGCATTCCAAATGTCTGGACCGTGATATCTTATGGACTTATGCGCTAACAAAGTTTTAGGATTGTGTAAATGAAAATCAGTACAATTACGCGTTGGGTATGAGTGAACATGGGAACTAGGAATAAATACGTCATGAAAAAGAGGAAGTGAATTTTGTGTGTATTTAAACATACAGATTGCTGTTTGATATAAGTGCAAATCACTCACTTTTAAAATGTTTAATCTATAAAATAACGGATTTGTATGAGCTAAGTAATTAGAATGAGTACAAATCCTAAGTGCTCTTTTTTTGCAAGAGAAAAATTATATTAATCTTATAGTTATACTACAGTTCCCCCAAACTACATTACAGTATGTAAAATAAGGTAACACTAATGCATTATATAATGTATAAAGTATTTTCTCGGGTACAAGGTCCCTCATTTTACCAATTACCCCAACTGCCCTTGAAATTGATGTTGTAATATTATTTACATGATTATTCCAAGTAAGCTTTGAATCCAAAGTTATACCTAAAATTTTTGTCGATTTCCTTTCAACTATAGAAATATCATCAATAACAATGTTTATAACCTGATCAAAGTGTGTTTGGGAAGCACAAAAAATGTATAAAACATATGATACAGCGAAAGAAAACAAAATAAAAGTAGATAGATAGGAAGAGAGAGAGACAGACAGAGAGAGACAGAGAGACAGAGAGACAGAAAAAAAAATATCATTGCACTTGAAAGAAGGCATAAAGAGATGCTTGGATAACTAGAGAAAAGGAACGGATTATTTAAGACATGGGGCGAGGAGATTAAGGGAGAGGGGAAAGGGAAGAGAGAGAGAGAGAGGAATTTAATTTTTATTTCAATTCAATTCAATTCCATTAAATTGAATTCAAATTCAAATTCGATTCAATTCAATTCAAAAGACTTTATTTCCACTAAAAAACGAACAAATAATACATGTGATATAGTACAGACAGTTAAAAATATACAAATCATGAGCATAATAATAATAATAAAAACGTTACTTATAAAGCGCTTACCACCGAAGTCTCTAAGCGCTATACACACAAAATAGACTGATATACAATTACATCTTATACAAAACTAAAAATGCAAATAAACCTACAAATAACAATACATATGGAATACACATCAAAGTGAACAGAGATAATTAATCATCGAACGCAATTTTGAATAAATGTGTCTTGAGACTAGTTTTGAATAGGTTAACGGTTTGACAGTTTTTTACATTTAAAGGTAATTTGTTCCAAAGTTCAGCAGAAGCTTTGCGAAAGGAGCGATTACCATAAGAGAGAGTTGACACAGAAGTAGATACGAGGTTTAATTGTGAAGATGACCGTAAATTGCGTGAGGGTTTGTATTCCTCGATTAATTCTTGCAGATAAATTGGTGCCAATTCATGAATGCATTTATAAGTTAAAACTAAGATTTTGTACATAATGCGGTACGTCACCGGCAACCAATGCAATTCGCGAAGTACTGGGGTGATGTGTTCACAAGAACGTGTGCGTGTTACAAGCCTGGCAGCAGAGTTTTGGATTCTCTGGAGTTTTGCAATGTGCGACTCCGGAAGGCCATAAAGAAGGCTGTTGCATTGATCAAGACGGCATGTAATAAATGCATGTATAAGCGTTTCGGTAGATTTTTTATCAAGAAAATTTCTAATACCACCTATCTTGTACAAGGCATATGAAGCTGAGCGACAAATATTTTTTATATAATCATCCATCCTAAGATCATTTTCAAAGATGACACCAAGGTTACGTGCACTTTTGACAGGTTGTATCGGAACATTAGCAATTTCGACAGATGGTAAATGGGAGGACTTTCTGAATCGAGATGTTACATGTATAACCTCGGTTTTATCCTCATTTAACTTCAAATCATTAGCAGTGGACCAAGCTTTGATATCATTTATACATATTTCAAGTTTAGTAATAACAGAATGGTCGGAATCACGTTTCAAAACAACATAAACTTGGGTGTCTTGCATGTATGTGAAGTTAATTTAAACAAACTGAAAAGGAAAAAGGAAAAATGGGCACCTGGAGAAAGCTTTTTTTTTAGCTTGTTGATTCAGGCGTCCAAATGAATAAAATAGTTACACAGAACTGATATAACACATAACATAACATAATAACAGAGTATTGCGCATGGATTTAGCTACCCCTCCCTCCTCACCACTCCCCTCCCTTCTCTTTCTCTCTCTCTCTCTCTCTCTTGTGGTAATTTACAAAATTATATTTTATTTAAAAATAGGTATTGAAATAAAAACAAATTAAAGGGATAATAGATATATTTTAAGATTTTGCTTGAATGAGTTCAAGTAAACATATTGCGCGACAGAAGATGGAAGAGAATTCCATACTGTAGGCCCTGTATATCCTACCAATTGTTGCATGTACTGTTCATCAATATTCGAGATGTGTAACTTAAGACTATTTCGAGTATTATATTCATGAATTTTAGAGTTAGTTTGGAACAGTGGCGTACGCAGGATTTTTTCAAGGGGGGGGGGGGGTAGCATTTTGAAATCGGGCCGAAAATTTCGCAACGACTCAGCCAGCCGCTGAATAAGCGGGGGGGGGGGGGGGGGGGTAAGAGGACACTTTTTTTTTTTTGGTCTCGAAATTTGAAAATTTGACATTTTTCTTCGTGGGGGGGGGGGGGGGAGGTCATTATAGGTCATATTTTTTTATAATTTTTTTAATAATTATTTTAAAAAATCCAAAGGGGGGGGGGGAGGGGTTTTTTAAATATTTTTTTAGGGGGGTTTACACACGTAAAAATAATAAAGGGGGGGTTCAACCCCCATACCCCCCCCCCTGCGTACGCGCCTGGTTTGGAACACAGTGGCAAGAGATGACGGTGCATTACCTTTGATACATTTGAATACAAACACAGCATTTTGATATTTATCTAGGCTATAAATATTGAGGGCATTTAATTGCCTAAATGAATGTTTAAAATTGGCCGAAGAATTAGAGTTTGTACAATATCGTAGACGACGCTTCTGAAGTAAAAATAAGGGTTTCAACCCCGGTTTCAACTTAGAAGGACTTGTATTTTCCCACACGATGTTACCATATGACAAATATGAAAGAATGAGTGAATTATAAATCATAAACAATACATTATCTGGTAAATAATACTTCCGCTTTTTCAATAACCATGTAGTGCTACTAATCTTTGCAGAGATCATGGCAATATGGGATTTCCGTGACAGTTTTTCATCTATGAGAATACCTGAAAATTGAATATTTGAGACTTTTTCAATAATTGTTTGATCAATATATAATGGTGGAATTTGATTTGTTATTTCTCATTTGTTACACTGAGCTGTTCTTAAAAGTATACATTTGGTTTTGTCTAAATTAAGCGATAGTTGATTTGCCTTTAACCACAGAGATACATTCGTGTTCATTAAACTGGTCTATCAGTGAGTATAAATTATTATGGCTTAAGAACAAAGAAGTGTCATCAGCAAACTGTACACATTTTAAGGAATGAGAAGAGTTGCATATGTCATTTATATATAAAAGGAAAAAATGGGCCCTAAATTTGACCCTTGTGGAATTCCACATTTAATCAGTAATTTGGTAGAACTGTATCCATTATAATTGGTACCTTTGTGAAAATAACTCTTAATACAATTCAACGCAAACCTCTAACATCATAATTAATTAATTTCTTAAAGAGAATAGAAAAATCAACGGTATCAAACGCCTTACTCAGGTCTATAAAGACACCAAATATAAATTGTTTTGAATTCAAGGCATTAACAATGAGTATCATGAACAGATATTAAAGCATGGTCAGTAGAAAAATGGGTTCAAAATCCAAATTGATTATCATGTCATAATGTGTTTAGATACAAATTTGTATGTTCTATCATAGCCTAATCTCTCCTTGATTTTTGAGAAGCATGATAAAAATGGTATAGGACGATAATTACCAAGTGTGCTTATCCCCCTTTTTAAAGATTGGGATTTAGTGTTGGATACTTTTAGTTTTAAAGGTACTATTCCCATTTAAGGAAAGAGAGAAAGAGAAAGAGAAAGAGAGGGAGAGAGAAAGAAAGAGAGACGAAAGACGCTGTTTAATTTCATATTGTTATGAGTAGGTTTACGTATAATTCATTTTTTCAACGTTTCAACGTTTGCTTTTTCTTTCAGCAGACTCACCCTTGGACAACCAATTTCCTCATCGTGAAGATGATTGTTTTCTGCAACAGGTAACCTCCTAATTTTTGTTTAATACACATATTCTAAAAAGGCCTTGACTACAAATGAAAATAAGAATATAAACAAACATCCTTATGAATTATTGTTGACGTTATTTGCCGAAGTAGTGAGGTGTGTGTGGGGAGGGGGTACACTTCTTATGTTCTTATATTCGTTTTAAAAGTACTCTTTAGCCACGTTTCATTTCACGTCATTGGGGGGCCGGGGGGACGCACTGTATATATAGCTGAAACATGAGCCGTACGTCTAAGTAATGCACTGTGAATATGCGTACTCCATAGCATGATGTCAACAAGTCGATAACTAGTTTTTAGGTCGGCAGCCTTCGATTTGCATTACTTTAGATTTCGCATTTTCAGAGAACTGTTACTCCTCTGACAGGTAGTAAAATCCCATACAATTGATGTTATTGTCGTCTATGGCTCATTAGTTTCCGTTGATATATAATTCATCCATTTCATTTTCTAATTGGATAATGGGCCAACTGAATAATAACGGGATAATAACGGCACAATTTGGAAGCAATAATCATTCAGGCTTATCATAACATACATGTACTTATAATGAGGGCTTCTATTTATAAACTCCCTTTTACACGGCGCATGGTTTTATCTCGTTACGTACAGGACCGTTCTACAGGTTGCCTCCACATTATGACATTTATGTATATATATATAATATATATATATATATATATATATATACGTACCATCTGGAACCTGCTATCTTTTGTTTACCCCCATGTGTTAATGTTCTAAAATTAATTTTAAATTACTAAATTAGTAGTTAGATCAGAAATTGATGTTTAACAAATAACGTCGCAGATCACTTACAGTCATGTACATGCCACCCAGGCGCGTACGCAGGATTTTTTCGAAGGGGGGGGGGGGGACATATTTATTATTTTTTTGTCCCGAAATTTGATAGACAGTTTCGTGAATGATAACACATCAAAAGGACTCTGTAGTAATCGATTGGTGTTAGAGGTTAGCGGTGTCGTGGTCAAGTGGATACGTCACTCGACTGTAAATCCAACGTTTTTGGTTCGGGTCCTACTGCGGCACTGATGTTCTTTAGTAGAAAATGTTTCTACATTTGCCAGCCTCCACCTAGGTGAATTAAATGGGTACCCGTAGGGAGAAATTACTTGAATGCTTTAGCGCCTGTGGGTACGGGTGAATACAAGTAATACTTTAGAAATCATGACTTTTCCTATTTTCCCCGATCCATTTCTCTCTCTCTCTCTCTCTCCCTCCCCTCCTCTCCCACCCTCCCCTCTGCCCCCCTCTCTCTCTATCTCTTTCATACTCTCTATTCCCCCCTCCCTCGTTCTCTCTTTCTTTCTCCCGCTCTCCGTACCTCTACCTCTTCCTTTCTCTCCCCTCCCACTCTCTCTTTCTGTCTCTACCTCTCCCTCCACTCCTCTCCCACCCTCCCCTCTGTCCCCCCCTCTCTCTCTATCTCTTTCATACTCTCTATTCCCCCCTCCCTCGTTCTCTCTTTCTTTCTCCCGCTCTCCGTACCTCTACCTCTCCCTTTCTCTCCACTCCCACTCTCTCTTTCTGTCTCTACCTCTCCCTCCACTCCCTCCTCTTCCCTCTCTACCTTTCTTTTCCACTCTCTCTATCTCTCTATTCTTCCCTCTTCACCTTTATCCCTTTCTTTCTCTCCCTCTCCCTCCCTCCCTTTCCAATTTCGCTATATTTCTCTCCCCCTCCCTTTCCCTTTCTATCTCTCTCTGTCTCTTTCTCTCTGTCTCTCTGTCTGTCCCTCCCGCTCCTTGTCTTTCCTTCTATATTCACCCTTTTCACTGTAAGTTATCGCCTTCATCTGTAGACGTCAATTCTGCTCAAACGGATGTATAAATATAGATTATAAGGCGCATGTTGCTATGTTGGGCAAGCACACATCAAATAATGTGCAAATGTGTCCAGCGTGGCCAATCTATAAAAATACTTTGCGTTCCTGAAAAATCGAAACCAAAAATCATATGGTTATTGCAACAAATTATGAGCTGTGTTAATAAGATGTTATACTTTTCACAAAGTAGCAGTAAAATGCTTTTATGTAGTACATTGATCACATTAATCCATAAACGCTTTACGTACCAACATTGTAATCGATAGACCACGTCAACATCCATTTGTGCCAGATTTTAGATCATACGTGAACATGACCTAAGGGAAACAAATTGTCTTGTGCAAAATGAATGCCATCATCCTGTAGTAAATGAACAATGTTATCGATGATGAGGGTATTAAAGAAGGAAATGTTTTTGTGAATTTTTATGAACAGTGATTTTCGTTATGGTCGTTATTCTCCCACTTAAAGGCATTTTCAAGCCCTTTCAGTTGGAGGGAAGTTCTAAATTAGTATTATATTTTAAATGCCGTTGGAATTTAACCTTTTCATATTTTTGGCCTGCAAATGGAACATAGTACCTTTAATAGACGTGGTAGAATAATGTGTAGTGTAATTATAATTTTAATTTATAAATGTCTATGCGATTTACAAAGTAGTGGCTGAAGAGGAGGACATTTACATTGTTTCTGACATGACCTTTTTCTTTATCTTTGTCTTAGCTATCTACAAGGTAGTGTCTAAAACGAATTAAATTTACATGGGTCATGAAGAAAAAACAGATTTAATGGGCAAGTTATAGGTCAATCTGTTAAGCGGTTGATTTCTCGAATTCTATACGTTTATAACAAAGTTTAGATGTGGTTATTGAAACCTCTGATTTAGTATTCCTGTGTTTCGTTTGAATTATATGTATGCCTAGTCAATACATAGGCTAGTTTAAATGTATCAGAGAAGTATCGTGGAAAAAAAAATACAATATGGAAAGAACATTTGTACTCATACAAAGCATTACTGTGATAAAATCATTCCTTGAGTTTGAAGGGTGCGCCACCAAGTAGGCGCCATTAACCGCGTAGTTTCGTTCCCTGTCGGTAAAAGTCCTTGACTTGTTGCGACTACAAGATGGAGATTTCTTAATATTTTAACACATCTCTAGAACTTGTCATTACTTTCGCAGTAGGATAATAGCTTTATAAGGATTATAATCATACATGCCAGTCTCTCTTCACCCCAGGCACCTTGTAAATTACATAGATCAGTCATAGATTATACCATTTTCTGTTCATGTAGGATCTGTGGAATTGCCTGTGATGGAGGAAGGACGCCCTCGAGCATGGGGGCTATACTAAAGCTAGTTGCAGCCATCGCTGTGGTAGTGATTGGTGTTCAAACAGTCAGAGTATCAGGTAAGATCACAAACCCGATTTTCCTCCTACTTACTGCTAAGCCACAGTTGGCGAGGCTGTGCATGCGAATTCATGGATCACGCCATCTTTAGCGTGCAGCAGGTAGGCGATTGAGATCGCAATATAACATTGTAAAATACGGCCAAATTTGTTGACGGGGGCGGATGGGGGGGGGGGGGGGGTTAGTCTACGCACCTTACATTTAAAAGAATGCCAGATTCCTACACTTACCAAGTTTTTGAATTTTTCAAGTAATTTATGTGATATTGATTTGTCCCAATTTATTTGAAGATGTGACACATCATAGCTTACATCTGAAAGTATTCAAAAAATGGTCCTAATTATAGCCAGTTCTTGCGTAACGAAAACAAAATATTAAAAAACAATCAATTTACAAGGAGTATAAATAATTGATTTGTTAACAGTACAGTATCTAATTGCTGTAAAATGCTGTTTAAAGTTGCCAACAATTTCAGTTTCAGTTTCAGTTTATTGTTTCATATTTCACATGTATTACATATTTTGCCATGATTTTGTACAAAGTCAGCGGTCAAATTAAATGTGGATTATATTAACATAGACAAAAACAGAAAGTGGGTACCTCATTTGTTCGAAAGCACATTAAAAGACTGAACAAAGAAGAAGAGTGAAATATGGAGGGGTCTATGGTGAAAGCTATTCTCCTGATTATAGCCCCGAAGAATAGTTAATTTATATTAGTCTTTAAAAATAGAGGGAACGAGCAATTACTGTTAACCGTAGTCAGGGACGGCGATTGACATTGGGGACGGGGTGGACACGTCCCCCCTCATTTTTTTAAAGATAATAATCTCATTATTGAAACAGTGTAAAGGCTATATAGTCTCAAACACCTACACCATTAAACTTAGTGCCACCGCCATTAAGCCAGGCACCAAATTTAGTAATCTGCTTTTGTGTTTCTAAAGACCGAGGTGTCCCATGTTTATATACGGAAATGGACATTCAATACTGGTAAGTTGTTCGATAACATCACTCAGTCTGATTTGATCCGAGATAATATCTCCTTAATGAATCAGTGTTAAAGCTATATAGTCTCAAACAAACCTACACCATTAAACTTAGTTCCACCGCCTTGGTAACATTGTTCAGATGAGAGAAAACGGTGCTAAGGTAGTGACTTCAATGATAGATGTACAATTAAAAATAATCTGAAAGTTTCAAAAAACAGACCATTATTAATGATACAAATTGGGAAAAATGATCTGATCGATTTCTTAAATTTCCCAACTCTATTATTACAATTTAATACATTTTAGGTGAATGAAACTTGTCACAAAGCAATGCATTTGCTCTATATACCAGTCCAGACATTTAAAGTGTTGACAGATTTTTAAAAGCCTGTTATATGTCTTATTTTCATGGAAAAACGGTTGGAAAAATTCAAAAATGGTTGCTTTTAGAGGTTGTCGCAAAGTGGATTTTCTTGTTTTGTTTGCATGTTAGAGAGTTAGTACAGTAGAAAGAATATAATAAGTAACCTTTGATACAAAAATTACGCAGTTTTTTCATCAACCTTCATCAATGTTACCGAGTCACTTTAAAGCCAGATTGATATTATTAATTTGTTCGATAACATCATTCAGTTTGATTTGATTAGAGATATATCTCATTAATGAAACAGTGTAATGGCTACATAGTCTCAATCAAACCTACACCATTAAACTTCAAGCTCACTCACACATAATATTGTGACAATTTCAAGGCTACTTATTATTGTAAGTTCATGTATATACAAACGGCAACAGTTTTAATATAAAATGTAATTTCATCTCACTTATTATCATTGGTCTGGAAACAATTATTTGCCAACTTTGTTGTATATTGTATTAAATTTTCACTTAAAATGGAATTTACATTGTAATGCAATTGTCAGATTTCCCAGGTTTATTCAGAAAAATAGAAAATTGATATTGTTAAGTTGTTCGGTAACATCATTCAGTTTGATTTGATTGGTTATATATCTCGTTAATTAAACAGTGTAATGGCTATATAGTCTCAAACAAACCTACAACATTAAACTTAAAGCTCACTCACACATGATATATTGCAACAATTTCAAGGTTACTTATTATTTCAAGTTCATGTATTTACAAACGGCAACAGTTTTAATATAACATGTAAGTTCTTCTCACTTAAAGATAAAGACCAGCTTTGGAAACGCCCCCCTCTCAAAAAATGAAATGGTAGCTTTTATTACCAATTATGTGGAAGAATATGTTTTTACTAATACGTGATGATACAAATTTTGCCGAGAAACTGCTTACTAATTGATATATTTGGTAAATTATTTTATCTATGTGGACCTGATAGATAATATCGCGAACGTGTCGCGTAGTCCCATATACATCTTTCTGTGTACAGTGATTGTAACTTTTCCAAGACTGGGCCAAATATCTTATCATGTTGATGATTCCAGAACCTTGCGGTACACACCAATATTTATATGCCAGATTATCAACCTTTTCTGATCGATTCCACAACGTTTCTTTCACAACGCAATCGCATGGAAACAATTATTTGCCAATTGTTGTGTATTATATTACATTCTAACTAACGATGAATTTACATTGTAATGCAATTTTCAGGATTCCCAGGTTATTTCTAGGAAAATAGAAGATTGATATTGTTAACTTGTTCGATAACATCATTCAGCTTGATTTATTGGAGATATATCCCATTAACGAAACAATGTAATGGCTATATAGTCTCAATCAAACCTACACCATTAAACTTCAAGCTCATTAACACATGATTATATTGCGACACTTTCAAGGCTACTTATTATGTCAAGTTCATACAAACGACAACAGCTTCAAAATTAAATGTCAGTTCTTCTCACTTAAATCATTGGTCTGGAAACAATTATTTGCCCATTGTTGTATAATATTGTATTACATTTTCACTAACGATCAATTTACATTGTAATGCACTGAATTTCAGGTTTCCCAGGTTTATTTAGAAAAAATAGAAGATTGATATTGTTAAGTTGTTCGATAACATCATTCAGTTTGATTTGATTGGATTTATATCCCATTAATGAAACAGTGTAATGGCTATATAGTCTCAAACAAACCTACACCAGTAAACTTCAAGCTCACTCACACATGATATATTGCGACAATTAATTTTCAAGGGTACTTATTATTTCAAGTTCATGTATTTACAAACGGCAACAGTTTTAATATAACATGTAAGTTCTTCTTATTTAAATCATTGGTCTGGAAACAATATTTATTTGCCCATTGTTGTATATTATAGAACATTTTTCATAACGATGAATATATATTGAAAAGCAATTTTCAGGAAAACCATACTTGTCATTTGTTATATTTGCTATATGATACTAAAGCATATCGTTACTCTTAGGCCAAAAAAAAAAAGCAATCTTGAACGCCAAACATAACATTTAATGCATTTTGCAAGGATCAAAATCCGTCCCGTTGCCAGTTTGGTCTTTTCAGTACGCAATTCTGTATTTATTAAACTTGCCATTTTTATTTTTCTATGTCAAAATGCCGTTCATTAAAATCAGGTTCTGAGCATTCTTTAACTCATTTTAAAGCCCATATGTACTAGTTTACAGGAGGGTTTAGACCACCCTGCCAGGTCACTGGACAGGTGGTTATCTCATCAAATCAGCTCTCAGTTAACATAAGATAAAGAGGATCATATGGGAACAATGGTCACCGATTAGGCATTGTTTGCTATATAGAGGGCGCAAGTAGCTATAAGTAGTACAGTGGGGATTTAAAGGGTGCTGTATTTCAAAGCCAAAAATACTTTCTGCGTTGGTCTTGATATTCATTGTACATTAAACTAGTCTTTTACCATATTAAAGTGTTTTATTGACTTCGATTGTTTAAATGCTTGACATCCCAATGATTTTTTAAATATTTTTATGGAAAAATATTTATACAAAAATAAAATCAAAAAGAATAGGGGGGAATAAAAATAAATGAAATAAAAAAATAATTATAAAAAAAAATCCGCCCGCCCGCCCCTACTTCAAAAAAGCAATCGAGGACAACCAAATGATTTTTTTTTTGGCCTTATCGATAGGATAATGTGAAATACGTGTCAAATAATAAAAACATTACGTGCTATTATTACCCGGACTAGACAGTTTAATATTTATAAAACATGTATACACTATTGCCAGCAAGCAAGTTTGCATATTTTAGTCAGGACAGATTTGAAGATGCTTTCATTGATGCCCTACACTATAGTTGGACTGTTGTCTTCAAAAGTCTTCCATATAAATATACATTGAGGAGGTCAATAATCATTTTCAAGACACCCCTTTCGTATTAGGTTGACACTTCAATATATATTGTGGACACATGTAACAATTTAAACATATTTTTTCTTTGGGGGGAGGGGGAATCCAGAAAAGGTTCGACAAGGACTGTGGCCTAAAATTGAAGTTTACTGATAGGTCCCTTCACACATTTTTGCGGATACTTTTATGAGCAAAACAGTATATGGAGCCAACGTCCACACACGTCACATCGCACCCATGGAATGTTTTTTCTGTGTCCTGCCCTGGCTTTTCACATGACAGCATGTCACAAACTGCACGCTCGCGATGAGGATGTCGTGCACTTATTTCCTCATGTCTTTTGCGAGATGCCCCACCTTCCGAGGATCTATTCCCTTGGACACCAACAAATGTATAGGAAATACTGACCAAAGACTGCAACACACTTTAAGGCTCTGGAGGGCCCAAGAGTGCAGCGTTGAGACTAATAAATATAATATAATATATATATATATATATATATATATATATATATATATATATATATATATATATATATATAATATCCTTCACAATGTACAAGTAGATATTGTAGAAAATATGTATTCCGTTGATATCGCGTAAGCTTATTTCCACGATTAAAGGTTATAGAAATAGATCAGTGCTACAAAAATGAATATTCTGTCTACTTACTAAAATTTACCTAATAAATATTTACAACCCTTCGGACTGCACACTAGATACCGGCAAAGTAAAAGTGAAGTGTGAAAAAAGTGTATTGCTTGTTACTAATACTATAGTTTGCTAAAGAATGTAATTTTGTAATACAACAAAACCTGTGAGGGGGTAGCATTAAGCTATATAATACGACTTATCATATAGCTCGATGGAGGTAGTCACTTCCGTCACCTCCGCCCCTTTCACTGGCGTACTGATGGGGGGGGGGGGGGGTCAGTAACCCCCCGGGCCCAAATACAATTCAAACCAATACAATTTGATACAA